TCTTCTTCTTCATTGTGTACACTTTCTGCCATCCTATAGTGCTTTGAAATTGTAACCAGGGTTTTAGTCTTCATAATATAATTTTCCATAGCTTCAAAGAGTGATTTATCTTTAACTAATTCACTATCTTTTGGAGGCCAGTTATACCCTGCTTTCAGACAGCTATGAAGGAATTTTTCTCTTTCTACCATATATTTTGAGCAGTCGTACAAGAAATGGTAAACATTATCTTCTTGTTGTTTATCAATATCACAGTTTTTATTGTCTGTTTTATGAAATCTATAGAGGTAACTTTTAAAATTCCCATGAGCTGTTAAGCACTGTGTGATTCCAAAAGAAGTTCTGAAATGTTTGTTGGCTTTCCTTTCTAGTATTGAGGGAAAGAAACCATAACAATGTCTTCCCGTATTGGAGGAAGTCCATTCCCTCTGCCATAGGTCGTTAGTTATATTCCTTATAGTATTTTGCAGTCCTTTAATAGGTATTTTTTGATAAATAACATTTGAGTCGTGATTAGTGGCTCTTTTTGCCAATTTGTCTGCTTTTTCATTGTATTCAAAACCTCTATGTCCTGGTATCCATTGAAAAGTAAGCTTATGTTTTTTATGAATAATTTCCGATAAATTGATTAAATCGTTAGATAGTTTATCTTTTTTAAGTTTATTTTTAATGATTTGCAGTGTTGCTCTGCTATCTGTGAAGATTTTTATTTGGTCATCCTTATATTTCTTGTTTTCGTTTATGAATTTAAGCGCTTTGTATATGGCAAACATCTCTGACTGCATAGTAGTGCAGTATTCTGCCATTTTGATTGATGCCTGATAGCTAGTTTTATCATTTTTATCTAAAATTATTATGCCACATCCAACTCCTTCTTCAGTACGCGAGCCATCAGTATAAATTTTTATGTGGTCTTTTTTCCTGTGGTTCTCCTGATGTTCTATTTCTACCATATATGTATCTGTTTCTGCAGGGTCCATAATAGTTGTTGTTTTGTCTATTTCTTCAGTACCATTTTCTTTGATTTTTTCAATTAACTGTATGTTGTTAGGGAGAAAACCATTCTTGATGTCAGTTTCTATGTCTTTGTTTGATTTAGTATTTAAATATTTTTCTTTCAGATTGTTTTCCCACATAATGTCTGTCGCAACCCAATGTATAGGTTTTAGATTTGCTAGCACGAGCAATGCGTCCGTGGGCGCCGTTCTGTACGATTTGCAAATTCTTATAGCTGCTCCTCTCTGAACAGATAAAAGTTTCCTCCTATTGTGCACCTTTCCAACCGCTTCACCCCAGACTTGAACCCCATATAAGATTGCCGGTTCTATAGCACTTTTATATATCATTTTTGTATTTTTTTCGTTCATCCCCCATGTGTTGCGGCTTAAATGATGAATAAGGTTCACTCTCTCCATGACTTTCTTATATGCTTCGAGAATGTGAGTTTTCCAATTTAAGCTTCTGTCGAAAACAATACCAAGGTATTTCATTTGCTGTACATTTTTAATGCTCTTTCTATTTATTTTTATTCCAACTGCTTTTTTTAAATGATCTCTTTTATTTCTTCTCACTCATAGGCTGATTGCCAACGACTGACGCTTCCTGCAGGCGGGAAAAAATTCAGGGCTGTGCATGACTATCCCCTCCACAACTCCACTGAGGGAGGCCTCTCGCGCATCATTGGTTTACGCGGGAAAAAAAAAAAAAAAGGTCCGATACTTTTTGAACAGACCTCGTATTTATGCATTCTGAATGCATCAGTTGCTACTATAGCTGCTAAACAGTAGTCCTCAACATCATTATTTGCTTATTTTATACAGATAACTTTTTCTTAATTTTAATTTTTTTTTTTGTAAAAGTTAATAAGTAAATTTATGAGAAAAAATTACTTGCATTAAATTCTTTAATTGTTTTAACTGTTAATCTTATGTGTTAGATTTTGATCAGAATTCTATTTAGACAGCTTTATTTTTTTTAATGTGTCATTATATTTTTCAATTAAAATTGCTGATAAAATAGGTCAGCAATTACATTAAAAGTACTTGAGAGAAACTAAATTCATCTTCACATCTTCATCATGTCCAATTATTAGTGATTCTGATGATTGGACATTGACAACCATTTTTTTTTAATTAAAAGTATTGATATGTTTCCATTTTATTAAAAATGTGAATATTTATTAACTTAACTCTGAGTTTTTTTTCTTGATTTTAAAGAAAGAATTACAATATTGAAAGTTATTGCAATGTTAACTTAATATTGTAAAGGAATTGATGCTTTGTTTTATGTAAAATAGCCAAATGTATAAATAAAAACAAAACTTGTTAAATCTATTATAAACAGTTAAATGAATCTTGTGATCTCTTGAGAAAGGTCACATACTTTAATAAATTTATCTTATAAGCATTAAAATAATAAAGTATCAATATAATTATCGAAAAGTTAATTCTTTATAAGTTCAATAATTCAGTGTGAATCATATTTAATTTCTAGAATATTAAAGTTAGATTGACAGTATTAAATTTGCTGTAAAATCTAATATTTTGAACAACATATTTGAGAATTGTAATTAAAAAGATAATAAACAACCACTCAAAACTGGTTATACTTAATAAAGGCAAAATAAACTAATATCCAGCACAAAACATTAGCTGTCTTACATTTTTGTGCTAGGTATTGGTTTATTTTGCCTTTTAAAAAGATAATTTTCATCAAAATTACACAAATAATATATATACATATATACTTTGAAATCATATTTCTTCTTTATACAGATACAAAGATTAGAAGCTAAAGTGATACTTCATCTTGCAGAATATGGCGAAATTTGTAAACAAGCAAAGGTATTTCTGATTTATTTCTTAAATAATTACATACTGTAACTGTGTAGATAACCTGTGTAGATAAGTTATCTGTGTTTGAAAGGGCAGGTTACATGCCGATTTTAAATTACAATTATCATATAAACTTATGAAACAGCTTTTCCTTTGTTTAAATCACTAAGTATGTCTTTAAAAAACATGAAGAATTCTTTTGCAACCAAAGTTTTTTCAAAAACTAAAAAAGACATATATATATACCTCATCCTTAGTTCTCCCCTGTTCATTTTTTTATGTTCAATCTAAACTTTAATTGATATTAGATTTTTTTATTTGAATTTGTATCTTAAAAGCTGATAAATAATTATATAGGTTTAAAACAATAGCTCTAGCTTGATTGGTCAATGTTTCAATTTGTTTACATGTAACAGCATTGATTTCCATTAGTTTCTAACAAACTTGAAACTAAACATTATAATTTTCATTTACAGTATTTGCTTCATTTTTAAACTCTATAGTGTAGAAATTCATTTTATATAAAATTTAAAATATCATTTGATAAACGTCATTTTAATTAATATAAGTTTTGAGTTAGAAAACAATATGGTGGTAGAATAAATTTTCTAAATAGTAAATAGATGAACAAAGCAGAACTTCGGCATTTCTGGTAGATGGCCTGAGTATTACAGTTCAAGTCTTTACTTTATAAGGAAATACCTCTTTTGTTGAATGAGTTATGGAGTGACATTTTTTTATTGTATTGCTTCATTTCTAATTTATTTATCAAATAATAATAATAAAATATATAATAATAATTTTTAAAACAAACAAAAAAAAGTTATGTAAAAAATAATTTTAATATTTTAATTTTATGCTTAATTCATACAAAGAGCAAATTACTAGTAGAAAGGAGAATGAATATCACATTGGCAGTGACATCCTTTCTGGTGGCTTTTTCTGTTTACTAATTATGGTTTGTATTTTAACATGTTGAACTTTTCTGCTAGTGAAAATCTTTTGACACTAATCAGAACAATGAATTTCTAAAGATAAGAATGTGAGATATTTAAACAACAGCAGAGACAAAGAATTACTTATATCCTTATAATTACAATAATTAATTTTGAAATTTTCTTTTTGATAAATAAATAGATGGAGCAATCATAAAGAGTAATTTGCTCTATCAATCATCATCATCATTTAATTGCACATGTGATCATTTTTCTATAAACATGCTTCTAAACAAATGATTCTACCAGATTTCAATTGGTCTGTATGGCTGATTAATTATAAATTTAACACAAGATGCTATGTTTTGCATGATCACTCATTTTGCTATTCTTGTTTTATGAAATGGCATTGAAAATTAAGTTCACTATGCAAAAATGTATTTTTTTTTTCAATCTATTTTAGCTTTTGCTAGCAAATGGCCATCTAAGTTAAGTTCAGAGTTTTCTACTGTGAATGAGAATTGAGCAATCAACTTTAAAATTTATGTCATTTGATATTATCCACATTAAAATTATTTTCTGTTTGTTTTTTGTTTACGTTAGCATTTGTTGATATTATTTGATAAATAAACAAAGTGACACAATAAAATAAATTTTTCATTTGCATTTTCAACATATGAAGTTTAGGATGTTCCTTATTATTCCATTTTTCCCACTTATTTCATGATTATATTTACTATGAAGTTAAATATAAAAACAATGTTTTAATGTTTGAGGTGATATCTTTTAAACTACATACCAGGTATCATATTTCCAATGGCTGTTACAGAGTGACTAAGACAAAACCTTTCACACTTTGTTTCTAGCAGTTTAATCACTAAGTACAAATGTTTTCGGCCATTTTGAATAGCCTTCACTTAGTGATTAAACTGCTAGAAACAAAGTGTGAAAGGTTTTGTCTTAGTCATTTTAAGTAGTTCTAGCTTCAAATGCATAGAAGCTGTTAGAGATGCATATGTATACAGTGACAGATTATGCATTGGTTTTATTTCCATTCTAGTGATTTATTGTGGGATATATACCACTACAGGTTATCTGCACAAAGTTATGATGGTAAAAAATATTATTTTGTATATTTAATTAATTAACTATTTTGAAAAATTGTTTTTAAAATGTTGATTACATGAGTGATTGTCACAAAAATTTCAATCATGGTATATTTAATCTTCTCTTCATTTATTTGTTTAAAAATGTAAAATTTTTCATTTTCAGAATAATAAATTAATTTGAATTTTCCTGCAAGAGAAAGTATTATAAGTAAACCTCTTATCATAGATCTGATGATAATTTTCTTGTTGTTCTGTTTCTAAGTACTCTGGAAATTGCCCATTTTTATCATTTTTGGGTAAACAAATGATACCTCTAGATTTTAATTTGGTTATGATATGAGTAATTAATTGTGTTAAATTTATAATTATTCTTTATAAGATTTGGCTTTTTGTTCAAATTAATATATTTATAATTAATTAGCTACATTATAGCTTGATTAAAATCTGACAGCGTTATTCGTTTATTACTATATGTTGGGCTTGGTTTATATGTAATTAAAGTTATCCTTAATTGGTCTTTGTATGTTAAAACAAGTAAGTTTTAACATACAAAGACCAATTAAGGAGAAAAATAAAAGGTTTAATTTTATTACTATAATTCAGAAGTTTCAATTCATGTTCATTCATAATCATAAAAAATTATAATTATTATAACAATATACATACAATTTTCAGATTAATTTCTGTATTTACTGTATTACTTTATTGTTATCTTAAAAACTTAATGGTGAGATATATTGAATTGAAAATCCTTAAATTCTTTATTATTTTAAATATTATATCTTTATTAATTTGATTTAGATAGCTTATTGTGTACAGTACAGTATAATCATTTTAAAATTAATAATTAAAGAAATACCCCTGTGATAAAAAAGTATTGGGAATGATTCAATACAACTTAAGATTTGAACTTATCAAAATTTATTTTCTCCCCTTCAAAATAATTCCCTCTCACTGCAATGCACTTATGCCAATGTTTTTTCCAATCCTAAAAACATACTTTAAAGTTGTTTTTCTGAAACCTCGTCAGGACTCTCAGCAAATTTTGTTTTATGGCATTAAGCAAATCAGAATGCAGAAATTTTAGTTGAGGAAACAGAAAAAATTCCCAAACGAGCATTATGAACAGATTCATTATTGTTGTGCAAAATCCATGAGATTTCTTGCACATATCAGGTCATTTTCTATGAATTGCTTCACACAAATGATGCAAAAAAATGCTCAAATAACATTCTTTGTTGACAGTTTGGCCAGTCAGAAGGAATTTGTGATGTACAACAATCAAGGAAAAAAGTCAACACGACCTGACTTTGATATGGTCTTTTTGATCTTGCTTTACCTTTTGAACACTGTTCACTTGATTGTTGAGCTGTGTTGGTGTCAAAAGCATTTCCTCAGACATTCAAACACATTGTTGTTTTTGTTGAATTAAGAAGTGATGCACTGCAAGCCCAAATGATTTTTTAAAATTGCTTGAAAAGATTCAAATGATACTGGAACATGTCAATAATGTCCCTAATTATTAAACAACAATCATTGAGCACCAAATATGATTTGAGTGATATGTTGTTCATCAGTTGAAGTAGATGGTCTACCAGAGCGTGATTTATCTTTGACATATTCTCTGCCTTTCTTGAACATCTTGTACTACTCAAACGCTTGTTTTTGATAGATTATCATCACCAAAAGCTTTTTGCATCATTTTAAATGTTTTTGTAACTGTAATTCCATTTGAGAAAAGAACATTTAATGCAGGTTCATTACTCAATTACACTTGACATTTTGAAAAATTGCCAATGCAAAAATTCATTACACACAAAATAAGCATTAATTTGCAAATGAAAACAGATGATGACATGTGAATTGCTGCTAGATGTTGATGAAAGTCATATTAAATGACAAAAAAATGACAACACTCTTTTGCATGTGCACAGTTTAAGTGAACCATTATAGGATGTTGATGTTTGACATGCAGTAAATTTAAAGGTCAATGAGGTGAGCATTTTTTAAGAAGGCCAGAAACAAAAATTGGTATCTATGTAATAGACTATCATCTCATTGTGTATAGGTTGATCATAATTGAAAAATTATGATTGTGGAAAAATTTATGAAAAAAAATTTAAGTTTCAAAACACACTACTATGAGTCAGTGTTTATAAGATGAGTAAAATCAAGATGTATTTGCATTTTGATGAAGATTGCTCTATGGGTTATTAGTATGTGTAAACAGGCATTTATATATTCTGGCTTAAATTTTTGGACTTGAGAAAACAAATTCAAGGCAACTGGACATGAGAAACACTATTTATTAAATGAGCTTTATGTTAAACCTTGGACAGTCTATGGAAATTCCTCAATGTGGCCTCCATTATTGTCTATTAGAATGTGCAAATGGTGAAAAGTACATTCAGTTGCAGAATACAACTGATCTGTGATTTTATTCACATGCAATTTTATTGTCTTTTAAAATAGTCAAGTTAGAAACCTTGTCTTGATACATGACACTTTTGAGATGTTTCCACAACCAAAAAATCTTAGAGGTTAATATCAAGGAAATGAGATGTTGAACATTACCACATTGACTCCTGGTGGTGAGTTGTGAAAGTAATTATTTTCAAAAGTTCACTTTTGCATGTCCTGGATAGTAAACCAGTAATATCTCAGTTTTTGTTGACTTTGGTTTTCATTAATTTTTTTTTTGGTGAAAAATTTGTCTGTTTTCATCGGTTGCCTCAGATTTCATCAGCTTGCTCTTGTGACCTTACTGCTAATTTTGCAAAAACATAGGCAGACCCATGCATTTTCCTGCTCAGTGTGGCGCTGTGAGCTACCCTGTGTGTCTAGCTATTGCTTTCCTTTTCATTTAGCACCATCATAGAACTAAAGAAAGTTTCCAGAGCCAGCAGCCCTTCAAATGCCATTGTTAAATGTCATTTATTGTTTACATTAGTCTTTTATATTCATTTTATATTAATTTCTTATTGTTTTTAGTATCAAAGACTATAATCAAACATCTTTACTATACCTGATATGATTAAAGCTATCCATCTACCAAAGCCTAATATTATCGGGCAAGAAACGGCTATAATACTAATAATTTAATAGACAATTTGGCATTAGAGTTAGGCGTTAGGCTCCATCTCTTGGCGTTAGGTGCCATCTATTATAGCCGTTTCTTGCCCGATAATATTCGGCTTTGGTAGATGGATATCAAAGACTATATTTATTCTCTATAAAATGTGTTTTTGGTATGTATTTTGGAGTGTCTAGAATGAGTTAATTGGATTTACATTGATTATATGAATCAATGTAAATCAATGGAAATAATTGCCTCAGTTTTCGTTACTTTCAGATTTTGCCAATTGTTTTTGGGCAGATTATTGACGAAAACCAAGTTTTTCACTCTATTATGGAGTTTGGTCCATGACCAGTAAAAATCTTTCTAGACATTTCTGAATAGGGGTATTTTAATTATGATCTCCCTGTACATTAAATGAAACTTTATTGATATTTTTCTGCATATTTACAATGTTTCAAGTGGAAACTGCAAACTTCTTCACACACAATACAATAACAAACCTTGATTTGTCATGCTCACACAAATAGTGCTTGTTGTTCACTGATAGTATCAAAAACTGAAATGATACGGATGAACAGTTCTTTCTTTGTTGCCACTAGTGTTTCATACACCATACACTTTACATAACCTCAGAAGAAGAATTAGGAGATGGTGCATTCAAATTTTCTGTGGTTTGTAGCTCTGACAATTTTTGTTTCCACCCTTAGATTGCTTTATAAAAAATGCTTGTTTCATCAACCTTTACCACTCCTTAAATTCATAAAATGTCTAACATATTTTAACAACAATCATTACTATAGTAATCAACAAGACAAAGTATGTCTTGTTGATTATTATAGTAATGATTATAATAGTCAACAAGACAAAGTATGTCTTGTTTATTATTATAGTAATGATTGTTTCATTTTTCAGCATTGGTTTAAAAAATGTAAGGATGATGATTTCATTCTTGAAGATAATCCTTGCTCTGGACAATCTTCTGGCTTAGAAAATACTGAAGTTGCTGTAGTAGTAGAAGCTGACCCAAAACTATCTAGATAAGAAACTGAAGAAAAACTTGGAGTATCCCATTTAACAGCAGTTAGGCATTTGCACCAACTAATAAAGATAAACAAGTATGGCATATGGTTTCACATGATGGATAATCAATCCAAATGATTTTACTGAGTAAAATCATTTGGATTGATTATCCATCTGTGTTTCAATTCTTAATAAGCAACAACAAACCCCATTTATGGATAAAATAGTAACTGGAGATAAGAAGTGGATATTACATGCCAATGTCATCCATAAAACAATGGTTAGATCCAAAGGCTACTCCAGCTCTAGAATAAAGGCATGGTCTTCTTTCTTGAGAAGTATTGTTATATGTGTGGTGAAATATGAGGAAAATACTGATCACATTTTGAGTTGTTGAATTCAAATAAAACAGTAAGTGCTAATTTATATTGTTAGCAGTTGGAAAACTATAAAAACTTTAAGAATAATGTCCATATTTAGCAAACAGGAAGGAATAATGCCTTTCCCATTTATATTGTTACACAAAAATGCTCATTCTCATGTTTCAATAACCATCCAACAAAAATTGAGAGCTTAATTAGAAAGTCTCTCTCATCCCCCATTAAAGCCTTGATCTGACACACACATCACCATTTCTTCAAAACAGTTTTAATGGAAAAAGTTTTAAGTCAAAAGTAGCTATCCAGAAGCATACACAAACATTTTTTTGAATCAAAAGCTGATAATTTTTATGAGAAAGACATCAAAGACTTTTAGATCAATGGAAATATATCTTAGCTAATGAAGGATATTGTATATTTGATTATATAANGAAAATTATTTTTTTGAAAACAGTCAAAAATATTACAGTATCTCTTTTATATTATGATAAAATCAATATTGCCCTTATTTTCTGTTAAGATTTGATATAAATCTTTCAGAAAGAATTTATAAAAAATGTTTTCACTTTTCAGCTCTGCTACCATGTTTAAACAGTTTTAGAATACCATGTTTCATAGTTGGCTGTTCTAGCACTGTGATAAAGCTAGCCTAGCCTTAGACGTGGCATGCTAAAAGGAAAGACAGCTTAAATTTCCCGGCTTCTGCTACTTTCAGAGAGGAGCATTGCTTTAGAATAGGTTCCTTCCCTTTTTTTTTTTTATGACTGATTCAAGCTTTCTTTAGCATTAGATGGCCAGGTTTTATATGCTCCTTTTATAGAACCTAAGAGACGAGAAACTTTGTACAAACTTTTAAAATATTTTCTTTATCTATTTTTATTCACCTGATTAAAAAGAAAAGAGGAAAATCCCGAAAGATAAGATGCTTTTGGAAGTAAAAACTTGTATTAAAAATCAGACATGCTCTGCTTCTTCCAATAATAGTTATAGTTATGTTTGTCAGAGGTCATGTGATCTTGTGACTGAGTTTAAATTATTTATAAAAAGTTTAAAAAAGAGTTATTGTTACATCATTTCTCTATTAGTTTTATACAACAGTAAATCATCAAATTCATTACAGTATTAAATAGATATTTTAATATCTCCTATTTGATTTGAAAACTATAAAGCTGATCACATAAGTCACTTTTTGTATAATGAAAAATAGAAAGATTAAATTCCTCCATTAATTTAATAACTAAGTATGCCACCTAAAAGCAATTAAAGAATCATTGATAACCATGCTAAAATTAATAAAGTTCCTCCATATGGTGCAAACCGTCTAACATGTGTACTATCTGTTAATGCATAAATATAGCAGCTTCCACAAAAAATGCTCATTCCAGCAGTAAGCAAGGTTCCAACCTATTAAAAATAAAAATTATAAATTGTTCAGTCAGTGTTTTTTAATCTTTTCCTAATACTAGCATTCCAACTTTGTCCTTTGTTTTCTTGTGGCACTCTGTTTCTTTACCAATATAGAATTATTGCACTTTTTGTATTTTTACACTTCTCAGCATTATGTTTCATAGCACTCTTGAAATGTCATTGCACTGTCCTGGTTGCAAACCACCATGTTAAGTAAATATAGTCATTGATGATTTTAATTGGTGTGTTTGCTAATTTACAAGAAAATTAAAATCATCATAGATTTTGATTTTCAGTGGTAAAAATGTCATAAATGAATGTTGTTGTGTGTCAAAAATTGTATATTCTGAAAGTTTTAGATCAAAAGATCATTATAGACAAAATTTTGATTAAAGTATTGTACAAAAAATGATAGCTCCAATTCAATATTTCTCAAATGCTTGAATACAGGAGTTTTAATAGCTCACAAAACTAAAAAATTAATCATTAATAAAATGTAAACACTGTTGTCAGAGAACATTTAAAAAATTTTTGACATAATAATTTACCTATGTAGTTTTTAATATTATAAAGTTAAAGAATTATATTTGTTCATTTTAAAATTGGTATAGTTAATAGTAAGTAATTATTTTATTATGATAAATTCAATTTGAATTTGAGAATTTATTTCTGCATGTACATATTTTTAGTTTTTATACATATTCTTATATTATCCTATTACACCAAAGTATATACACATTTTAAACATTTTATAATCAGTTTTAATAATAATTATATACTATTAACTTACTTTGTTGTAACCTCCTTGTAATGGGTATATCCCATAATATGCAAATAAAGGAATTTGAATTGAATTGAAAATATTTTATAATCAGATTTTTATGTAAAAGTGATTGTGATTTTTAGAAAGCAATCATTGATTTTATTTGAAATTTTGATCCTGTATATAGCACAGAATCAAAACTTCAAATAACAGTAACAATTTGTCTGCATTTGATCTAATTTATTTAGTTAGAGTTTTTACTTTTTAACATTCATTTGTTTGAAGGATGGTTGTTTGGAATTTGACTAAGAAATTTCAGCTTTTAACTTTTTAAAACTAATTATCTATCCTAAAAGAGAAACTTTTCATCTTTTAAGAATATTTCAATTATTACTCTTTTCTGTTGGAGTCAGTTTATCTGTCTAATTTTTGAAGAAATTCAATTGCTTTAATTTTAATGTTTTCTGTGAAATGAGTTTATTATAGCAACAATTTAATTTTTTCTATTAATTTGTCATTTAGTTGCTTACATAAAAATTATTTCTTTTTTACTAAGTCTTTTTGCTTTTATTTATTATTAAGAATTATTACTACTTTTATAAAATAGTATTGACTATCAAATCCACCTAGCAAACAAAGCAATAATTACATATACGTCATACTAACCTTGTATAGCTTTGCAGTTACTACTAAAAAATGTAACACAAACATTTTCGACCCACTTCCAGGGTCTTCCTTAGGTGTTTTATAAGTTGAAAAACTTATAAAACACCTGAGAAAATAAGTTGAAAAATTGGAATCGCACCAGAAATGGTGTGATTCCAATTTTTAACTGTTCAGATCTCCAATGCTTCTATCTTCAGAATAGAAGTGGGTCAAAAACATTTGTGTTACATTTTTTAGTAGTAACTGCAAAACTATACAAGGTTAGTACAACGTATATAGTATTGACTATCTTTGTTTCATTGAAATGTAATTATGAAATAGTTTGCTTATTCTGCTGATTGTGACTGATATAATATTCAATATATCTTGTATGTAATGTAAACAATCATTTAAAAAATTTATGTAAAAGAGTAAATTAAAGTAGTTGTACACAATGATGAATTAAAATAAACATTATTTGATTGTCTAAGATAAATCCTGTGATCTTGATTATGGATCACACTGACAGATTATTAGACACTGGATTACCAAAAATGTCAAATGAGTAGAAATATGTATGGTGCATGTAACTCTGATAAATAAATATACAAGCAGAAAGAATAAACAAACAAAATCTATGACTGTAATAAAGTACTTATATACATTTATTTTTATGTACATATATGCAAATTCTTCATATGTCATCATCTCAAAATAACTGTCAGGCATTTTTTGTTCTTTTTACTGAAAATGATTCCATTACAGCTTTTTCTTGCAGCCTTTTCAGTGTGAAAATATCTTCCATTTTCACATTACTCTCTTCTGCCCATTTGAGACAAGTATTGAAGGCACTAAGAATTTCTTTACAATGTTCTAAGTGTACATTCCTCATTGTGTCTGTCATATTCTCATCTTGAGTATTGTCATCTTCTTTCATATTATTGATTGTCTCTTCATCAATTGTGATCTGTAGATTTTCTTCATCACTTCCAGCAAGCCAGTTGTTAACTTCATTTACACTTGTTGTCTCTGATGAAATATTCACTCTTTCACACAATTCAGCTATTGCTTCCTGGAGGTCAGAATTTAAAACAGTATTGTCTCTTTCTGCTGATTCTGTGATTTTACTTCTGCTAGAAATTAATGGGTGTGATGGCCACAATCTTTTCCAAGATGAAATGATTGTATCAGGAGATACATTTTGCCATGCATAAGCTATATTGAAAACTACATTTTTCAGGTTCATTTCTTTCAGAAATTTAATGATGTTATCATTTTGACTAATCACATTAAACAGAAGGTTTCTTTTGTAGTGATATTTCACTAACTGGATCACATTTTGGTCCATTGGTTGTAATATTGAATTGCAGTTTGATGGCAAAAACATAACTTGCACAAAATCATCTCTTGATTGTAAGTTGTCTTCATTTGAATGGCCAGGAACATTATCCAGAATTAGTAGGGCTTTCTGTGGCAAATTTTGTTTTTTGAGAAATTTCTTTACTGAAGACACAAAATTTTCATGAAACCATTCAGTAAATACTTCTTGTGTTATACATCCACAATTCTGAAATTTGTAAATGACTGGAAGGTTTGCATTTTTGAAGGCTCTCGGAATTTTTGCTTTTCCAATAACCAACAATTCGAGTTTGTGCGCGCCACTAGCATTGGAACAACACATGAACGTAATTTGATCTTCCGACATCTTATTTCGCAGCACATCCTCTCCAGCCTGACAAACCAAAGTATTTTGCGAGAAAAGCCTCCAGAATAAATCACTCTCACTGATACTGTACACCTGATCCGGCACAAGACCCAGCTCATCAATTTTGTCTTGAAATTTTTTAACGAATGGAGGAACGGCCGCGTAATCGCAAGATGATAATTTATCGCCAGTGACGCTCAAAAAATGGATCCCGTGTCGCTTCTTAAAGTTAGTTAACCAGCCTTCACTCGCTCTAAAGTCGTCTTTGTTCGTTATTTGTTTGTAGAAGTACTTTGCCTTCTTACGAATGATTTCCCCAGAAATAGGAGCATGCTTATTACGCTGTTGTAAAAACCAGGCGTACAGAGCTTCTTCAACTTCAGGGTAGTCACCAGATTTCAGAGTCTGTCTATCACCGGAACCAAAGTTGCTGCTGTTAACATAACACTCAATCTTATCCCTATTTTTCTTTATGTCATGTATCGTAGCACGTCCAACATCGTAATATTTCGCCAAATCGGTAAGTTTCTCGCCCTTATCTATTTTCTTGATTATTTCCGCTTTAACACGCAGAGTCAAAGTTTTGTGTTTACGTTTCCCGGAATTTAACATTTTGTTCGAAACGTCTTCTATAAATCAACGATAACTTCCGCCATCGACAGGAAATCGTGCTGTCCTCCAGCGCCACCTCTGAGCGATATATTTTTTTTTACACAATTTTGTTATAAAAATTTTACAGAATATCGTCGAAATGAATCGTGATTATTATATTTCAGCTTGCAAGCAATATTTAGTAGCGACTTCGTTTACTTTTAATCTATCGTGTAGTGTACACGCAACAAAACACTCGCGTTCAATCCCGCCGTAGACAACAAGGCGACAGACACTGACGCCGGCTTAATGGGCGTGCCGGATTAGCAAACGGTCGGATTATTATTAACGCTACACCGTACTTGGGATAAACACATCGATTTTTTTCTTGTTTTTTAAAGAAATAAATTTGATATTTTTGTTTCAAATATTTCCGCCTTAGACAAGGAATAAAACTCGCCCTATCTGATGTTTAAAAAAAAATTATAACGAAGATAAAAATAGATTATTTTTTAAAGTTTTTGAGTTTTTTTCATAAATCAAATTCCTAATTCACTGTTTTATCTTGTATAAAGTTTAGAAAGAATATTAATATATTATTTTTTTCTTTTACTGATTTAAAATAAATGAATATGCGATAACATTAGGAAAAATTTATAAATGAAGCACTGATATTTTTATGCTGTAGCAAATAATTTTTGATTAAAATAACTGATTTACAATAAATTTGTTAAATATTTAACTTTTCTCTAAATTTATTTATTGTCTGATTAATATTCTTAGTTTATCATTACAATAATTATATGCTAGTTATTATTTGTGCATTGCATGTCTTGTTCTTTGGTCTTTGTTTATTTTTGGTAAAAATTCTTTTATTTCTTCTATCAAAAATTAAAATATTTAAATTTTTAAGTAATTTTTTTAAGAAATGATGTCTACATTCCAAACTCTAAACCAATTTCTTACCTGCTGTAGATAAAAATATAATCAGGCCTTTTAGACATATAATGACAAAAAAACTAAATATTTAAATTATAATATTTATGGTTTTATAAACAAATAGCCATAAATTAATTTATTAAAAATGAATATAGTTTTTTAATTAACAATTTTTGAATTGTATCTTCAAGATAGCATTAATTTAATTTTAAATCAATCATTTTTTTTTTTAAATATCTTAATTATATTTGCTCACATATGTAAATTATTTTTCTGATTTAAAAACATTCTAATTAAATTAATGTTGTTAATAATTTATATTTATTAAGTGAGAAGTTTAAAGAGGAAAAAAAATTAATAATTTCAAAGAATTAAAGAAACTGGTTACTTCATACCAGAATTATTTTTAGTTACAGCTAAATTAATCCAACAAACAGGCTTCGGTAATTATTTTCTTGTAAAATTTAATGTTTACAGCAGTTCAACCCTGAAAATTTCAAGGCTTTCGTCGAACTATAAAAATTAAAACTGTACGTCGAACATTTATAATATAAATGTTCGACGTACAGTTTTAATTTGTGTATACTGATATAATATGTACTACATACGTTAATATGTAAATATATTATTTAAACAAGTATAAAATATATATTAAATATAATAATAATTCAAAGAAATTTGACACTCGTCTGATAATGTCGTTAAAAGTGTTTTAAATTTTGCATATTCTGGTGATAGATATAAAAATTTATAAAGTGATGTAAAGACTAAAGTAAATGTCTAAAATGATGTAACGAGAATTTTTAAAATATTTTTTCTTGTCGAATTATTTACTTGTAATTTTAAAAAATTGCAACTCAGCATTGTGACGATGTCACAATGCTGGGTTTGCTAAGTATATACAGTATTATTTACTTTATTTGATTTGATTTTATATATATAATCTATAACAGAAATTGTATTATTATAGTAGAAGTTTGTTAATCCGGCATCTGCTTGTCTAGTGTCGAATTACCGAATTTTTTTTTTATACTTTTGCAAAATTTGATAAGTTATATGCGACTGAATGTTGTAGAAATTGCTGTACATTTTGTAGCAAGTCTCGCGATTGTATGATTCATGTGCATATAATAATTATTTTTCAGGCATTTACTGTATGTATACGATTTACAAAAACTGCATACAGGTATACTCTAGCTTGTTTTTAAGTGTGTTATCCTCGCATTAGGCTGTGCCTGGGGAGAAATATATCAGTCACACAAAAACTGAACACAAAACACAGCACAGGTGTTTTGTGTGTAATGTTCGTTCGGCACAATACGTAGTCCAGTTTACATAATAATACTGCCAGAGGATGTCGGATTAACGAGCTTCTTCTGTATATACAGTACTTTAAATTATGCTTTACATGTTTGAAAAGTAGCATTATAAAGTTTTATGCTTTAAATTTCAAAGTAAAGTAAGGAAATTAGACATCAAACTATTTTAAAAACTAGATAATATAATTATTAAGATTTGGAAATATAAGGTGACATACATAAATACTGTAAATTATAATTGTTTTTATTATTATTATTTGTGGCCATAAATGCATGTTATTAATACTATATATACTTAGCAAAATTTTTCAGATATGCATAAAAAATTTAATGCAATTGAAATTTGTATACGAAAATTCTGGATTTAAATTATTAAAAACATATATTTTCATATTTTCAGTTATTTTATAATTGAATATGTTCTCTTTTTTTCACTGTTTATGAATTTAAATATTAGAAAGATTAATGAGACTTTGCCTCAATATACTTATCATTTAACATTAAATTATAATGTTTATTCATATTTTTAGTTTTAAGGTTCATATTTTCATGATTTTTGGCTTAACCTTATTACAGTCACGGGTATTATACTTTATTTAATAACAATTCAAATGCTTTATTTTATTATTAAATGGAAACTAAGATTCAAGTAGGCTTGCTAATTTATAGTATGAGTTTTCATGTTTATTTTATTATAATTTAAACATCTTATATATTTTTCCCCATAAAACTCCAGAGTACTTTATTTCTAATTCTAATTTAATTTAAAAATAATTTATTTGGAATTGTTAAAAATTTTAGGCAGAAGTTGCATTGCTTAAAGCATCTAATCAGGCTACCAAGTCATATAAGGATTTAGAAACGAGAATGGATGCATTTGAACAGAAAAAATTACATGATTTGAAAGTAGGTAGTATATTTATATTTTATATTAACTAACTGGCATTAAATTGGATTTTAAACGTTTATTTTCCAGAGAATTTTTACACAGTTTGTTAATATAGAATTATTATTCCATGCCAAAGCACTAGAAATATATACCAAAGCTTACAATGATGTTAATTCAATTAACGCTGAAGCAGATCTCGAGGTAATTTTTTTTAATTTGTAATAATACAATAAGAAATTATTTGATATTTCAAATATTATTTATGCAGTGCGGTATTTTCCAATCAGTAGATCGCTATTTTTAAACAGTCTGGATTATATATAATGGATTGACTCGGATGTGTCTGACCATGTCCCTCATCACTCAGCATCATTATGGGCATGACCAACCCACAATGAGCAGTGGCGCGTTATTCTGTGCGCAAAAAGGACAATTGCCTGAGATCCCCACTAACGGGGTCCCAAACCGATCTTTTATAAGAAAATATTTCTTCCGAAGTCGACACTGTACATGAGGACCCCTAATTCAAATTCGCCTGAGCCCCACGAAGCTATAACGCACCACTGACAATGAGTATGCATAAAAGCCGTCCTGTGCTCACCGGGCAAATGAGTTTAAAAAATTGGAAAATAAAGATCTAGTGCAGATGTTTCTAAACGTTTTTGACTGCAGACCCCTTTTTGTTAATATATAAATAAATCTGATACGCCAGAATTATGTCATCTTGAACTGTCATTTATATAACCCATTGGAGTAATCAGTTTTAATGAACCTCTTTGTGCATGCACCTTTTGCTCTCGTGAAATCGAAAGAAATAGAATTTTAAGTATTTTGCATTGCTTAAATAATTATAATAATATTTCATTAGTTTCTAATTCAGTTGTTNTTTCTGATTTAAAAACATTCTAATTAAATTAATGTTGTTAATAATTTATATTTATTAAGTGAGAAGTTTAAAGAGGAAAAAAAATTAATAATTTCAAAGAATTAAAGAAACTGGTTACTTCATACCAGAATTATTTTTAGTTACAGCTAAATTAATCCAACAAACAGGCTTCGGTAATTATTTTCTTGTAAAATTTAATGTTTACAGCAGTTCAACCCTGAAAATTTCAAGGCTTTCGTCGAACTATAAAAATTAAAACTGTACGTCGAACATTTATAATATAAATGTTCGACGTACAGTTTTAATTTGTGTATACTGATATAATATCAATCATTTAAAAAATTTATATATATATATATATATATCATCAAATTATTATTATTTTTTAATTATATCAGACTCACAACACGCAAATCGATATTTTGCCAAGTTTTAAATTAATTCGTTGTATTTAATATTAAAATTTGTGACTTAAAGCACGATTTCTTAATATTGTAATAAAGAAATTTATTATTTTTGAAGTCAAAATCCTTAAAATGCCTTAATGTTGTGATCGATGTTATTTATAGTAATTTATTTTTTCAAATATGATACTGTTATAAATCATAAATTTGATATGTAATAAATCAATAAATTGTCACTTATACTTTAAAAAAAAGAGGTGATTTTTCATTGGTTATATATGATAAAGGTTACGTCGTACATCAAAAAAATAAATAAATAAAATAAAAAATAGATAGTGGAGAAAGTTGGCTTTGCACACGATACGTGTTAATGTACCATAGATGTAGTTGTGCTAATGATCACGTTTGAAACGAATGCATGTGAATGTGTTATGTTCACTCGAAGATCAAAGACCTGATTAATTAAAAGGTAATTATTATTATTATTTATAACATTTTATCAAAATAATTGCCATTACGATTAAACATTTCTCATAAAATTCCTTCATTTATATTTGAAAAAAGTGTTTATGAACAGTTGAACTTATCTAAAAATCTAGAAAATTTTACTCTTTTTCTTAAAAAAAATTCTTAATTTAATAATAATTAGCTTTAAAATACATTATTTTCTCTTTATTACTTTCTCGTATATTTAACTTGTTTGTTTTTATAGAAATATTATCACTTCATTGCTAATATATTTAGGGCAAAAGGTATTGTGAAAACGTATATAAAATTCTCGAAGGTTAAACGTAAGGTATAATTTTTTCCATAAATAAAATTCTCCATAAGAAAATCATTTCAGTGGGTTTTTTTAGAGGAAAAGCAACCTTCTGCTTAATTTTTTTTTAATTTCCTCAAATTACAGGATAAAAATAAATGCATTTTTTAATGTAATTAATATAAATCCGTATATTAAAAATCGTGCGAGTTGTGTAATGCATTTATAACTTAATTTATTATATAAACTTCATTATAAACTTTGTAAAAAATTACAAAACTTTACAAACGTTCATGCAGTAAAAATTTCTTACACAGTTTATACAAATATGCTATATTTCAAAATAACATTAGAATTAAATTAGACTGATTTCATTTAACCGTATCTAATAGCCTCATTAGTTAAATTAATATAATTTTGAAAGTAAAATCATTTTCTGTAGCCCTAATTCTGGCGCGCACTGTATATCAAGGACAACAATCTACGTTAGCGTAATTGAGAGTCGTCTTAAATAACCTTGCTAAGTTGGATAATAATGAAAATGGGCCATTAAAACTGGCCGTAAAGTATCAGAACAAACTTTTACTGATAATTTAAATTTGGAATATTAATTTTATTAAGAGTACTAAAATTTTGTTATGTAATTCGTGTAAGAGGAATTGGAATCTCTTCTAAGAAATTTTTCATTTTGCTGACTTAATTATTGCTTGTGGTATGAATTCGTGCCAATAGATTCTCAGTATTAAATAAAAACTAATACAATTTGTTTTACGTGTATTATTTGATAAAATATATTAAATTTATGCAGCAGTAATTACCAATTACCACAAAACAGTTTGATTTCAAGATCAGTTTCTGTGATTTTATTTGTTTTAAAAAATACGAATATATATATATATAGACGTAACTATATTAATCTATAGAGTTTATATTCTGTAGATTATTAAATAATTTAAAGTTATTATAGAAGAAAAAATTAATAATACTTAGAAAAGTCTCAGAAATTCAGTTGGATCTTGGAGGATTCTGACTAATTTCAATAATTTGTTGAGAGTTAAAATTACTTTTTGTAATTAAAATTATGTTCTTGTAGAAAATTTTCAAAAAAATAATAAGATAAAATAGCTTTAAATATATTCAAAAACAATTTATGTATTCACTTATTCTTCGGTGAGATTAATGTGATACGGATGAAGTAGCCATCATGCCTCTAGCTTTAAAAAATAGCAAACAGATCAGATTCTTCATGAAATCTTACGAAGAATGATAATAAATATATATCAGGTTTCAAGTCTTCGAAGCAGAAAATGTTCTGCGCGATCAAACCAAATAATAACAAATATGATAATTAAAAAATAAGTATTGCATGATTGATTTCAATTTACGCGATTTATGCTATTCATTTTAATAAAATATTTAATAATTAGCTCTAAAGTAGCCCGATAAAAAATCCGGCTGTTTGATATTTCAATTAGCGAGTTGGTTGTATCTGTAGTTATAAATAAAGTATCATCATTATTAAAATTCGTAGTGAAATTACTAAAGTTTTAATAATTTGAATGGATTTAATGTTGGGTGATAATTATAATAGATTTCATGCAACAGCGAATCCAGAAATCTTTAGAAGGGTGCAGAAAGGAAACAATTTCTTACTGCCTGATGTATCCGACTTTACTTGAGAAAAAACCCTTAGAAGGTGGTGAACCTGCGCCTTGGCACCCTTAAATCCGCCAGATTTCGTGAGCTCTTATTAAAAAGCAATTTTTTTAAGCATTATTCTGTTTCTCCATATTACAGATATTGAAAATATTCATGACTTAGTAGTAATGAGACTGTAAGGTAGAATTATTTAATTTAAAATATATGCTTGCCACCTCAAATTGGTAGTGATTTGCTTCTGTACACCTTACTTTTCCTTTATTAATAGAGTCACGCCGATCATCTATCTAACTAACACCTTTCAGGGGAAAATTTTTGAATTGAAATAACATGACTTTCGGTTTGCATCAGACGTTTATATATAGTTAATTGGGCCCTCTTATCCCTAAGGTTTTTCATATCTGGTCTCGTCTTTCATCTATCTAATTCCGTTATTGAGATTAAGGAAAGACGGACGGAGAACAGTGGGAATTTATAGGTCTACAATTTTTTTTTTCAAATTGCAACCCAATCATCACGTATCTTCGATAATACAGAGTATTTATATAAAAGCTAATCTAGAAAAATTCCTTTCTAAGAATTTATATCGAAAAAATAAAACATTTATGAATAATTCTGATTAATTTGTTCAATTTTTTTAAGAGTTATTTCGTGAATGTGTGAAGGATATGCCATTGGTTACAGATGTATAAATCTCACTAAAATCCCAGAATTAAAATTTTATCTTGAAATTTCCTGATGGAAAACAATAATGAATTTATTTACTAACTAGCTGCATTATCGCATAAATATTAATTAAATAAAAGTAATTAATTTTGATTACTTAAGATAGAATGTTTTCAAAGTTTACGTAAGTAATATTTTACACACGATTAATTTTAATTACGTGAAAATAAAGCTTAATAAATTATAGACTTAAGTAATTTCTTATAAAGTAACAAACTTTTTAAACGAAATTATTGCATCGATTGTAGGTTGTTTATATTTTTAGCTTGATTAAGCAAGAGTTTTTGGAATGTAACAAGGAAATTCGAGATGAAAATTTACTTTTTATTAATACGTGTAAAGATTTTTCAATTAAATAATTCAGTCAGAAAATTTTTTTTTTACATAAACTCAATTGATCTAACAGGAAAATAATTTTAATTAGGTATTTAATATGATACATATGCAAAAATTCTTTTCTTTTCGAGATTTTTATGAATAATTTTTAAATACCAAAAAAAATTAATTAAATAATATAATTATATTCAAAAGAATTAACTAAAAATTATTTTTTTAATTATTTTAAATAGAATTTCAAAAATTAAATATTAAAGAATTTCTTATAAAAGAAGTATATTCTAAAAAAGAAATGTATACATTTTTTTTAATTAAAAAACATCATATTTTGCTTCTTTTGAATTTTAAACAGTAAAAAAATAATAGTTTAATAAATGTTACATTTACAAGGAATCATTAATTACGTGTACATTTTGATCCCCCCTCCTGTCATGTACTAGTATAATAAAGTACTTCTGGCAATCCCAGTCTTGCCTTTAAGAGAGAGTAATTTATAGTAAGAGCGAGGCGTTTGGAATTTGATTTACATATATTGAATATAATTAAAGTAAACCAGCAACGAGTTGCTCAACTTTCCTGGCAACGTTTAAAATTTTGGTGGCGCCATCTGTTATCATATTTTATTCAAAAAACTTTTTATATTTTTAACTATTATAAAATGGCAAAAAGCTTAATTTTGAGGGTAGGAATGAGTTTTATAAAAAATTATAAATGCTAATAACGAGTAAAATCGTCATTAAGTCCGACCCTACGTGAGATACACACAACCCCCTTTATCTCTCTACCCCCTCCACCTTTAACCACCAAAATTTAAATCCCACCTAATGAACAAACCTACCTGCAAAATTTCAGACATTTTCGACAATAAGCACAGGAGTTATTAAGCTTCAAATAGGATGAACAAAACTGTACCCCCCACACATACACATTAACATCCATGCACACAAATTTCCCGCGAATTTTTTTTGCATTTCTCGACGTTTCAAGGTGTCCTAAGTCTAAAAATGTGAAAACCTGGGAGATCATATTTTGCCGG